CATCAAACAGGTCTACGACTAATCAAGATCCGATCGGATCATGGAACTGAGTTTGACAACTCACTCTTCGATGCATTCTGCAAGGAACGAGGGATAGACCACAACTTCTCCGCACCTAGAACTCCACAACAGAACGGAGTGGTAGAACGGAAGAATAGAACTCTAGAGGACATGACTAGAACAATGCTAATTTCCAGCGGTCTAGCTAGGAGTTTCTGGGCTGAGGCTCTAAACACAGCATGTTACATCATTAATCGAGCCATGATCCGCCCACTCCTAGGGAAAACACCCTACGAACTACTCAAAGGAAGGAAGCCCAACATTAGTCACCTAAGAACCTTTGGATGCAAATGTTTCGTCCACAACAATGGGAAAGATAACATCGGCAAATTTGATGCTAGAAGTGACGAGGCAGTCTTCCTCGGATATTCTACTCATAGCAAGGCTTACAAAGTTCTAAACAAACGCACACAATGTGTGGAAGAAAGCATTCATGTAATCTTTGATGAAGCACTTGCCTCAAAGTCAATCCAAGCCGATGATGGTGAGCTAGGGATTACTCGCAAGAAGTCACAATCTCAAGGAGATGAAGGAACTGACAATCAAACTGATGAAGTACCTCCAACAAATAAAAGTGAACAATCTGGAACTGAAGAAGAACCTGGACAAAACACTGACACTAGACCTATAGATCCAATAGAACCAGTTTCAGATTCTCTCTACAATTTGGTGGATCAACCCAATGCTCCTAGGGGTTGGAATCTTCATAGATCACATCCGCTGGATAACCTCCTCATCGATCTAAATCAGGGAGTAACAACCAGATCTAAACTTAAAAACTTTTGTGCTTTCTCTTCTTATTTATCTCTTATAGAACCGGAGAACTATGAAGTGGCTCTCTCCGACACTGACTGGGTTCTAGCCATGCAGGAAGAGCTAAATCAGTTTGAAAGAAATAAGGTGTGGCATCTAGAACCGAGACCCAAGAACAAGACAGTGATAAGTCTCAAATGGGTATTCAAGAACAAGCTTGATGAACATGGCCAAATTACAAGAAACAAAGCTAGGCTTGTTGTCAAAGGCTATAACCAACAAGAAGGAATAGATTTCAACGAAACATTTGCACCGGTGGCAAGACTAGAAGCAATTCGAATGCTCATAGCATTTGCGGCTCATATGGGTTTCACCCTCCACCAAATGGATGTCAAGACGGCCTTCTTGAATGGATATCTAAAGGAAGAGGTATATGTAGAACAACCACCGGGCTTTGAAAATCAAGATTTTCCTAATTATGTTTTCAAATTAGATAAAGCACTTTATGGCCTCAAACAAGCACCTCGTGCTTGGTATGAACGCCTATCCAAATTTCTTTTGGAAAACAATTTTGAAAGAGGAAAAATAGATAAAACTCTTTTTCTAAAAATAAAAGATCAAGCCCTATTGGTTGTTCAAGTTAATGTTGATGATATTATTTTTGGTGCTACTAACGAATCTCTTTGTGATGAGTTTTCTTCTCTTATGAGTTCCGAATTCGAGATGAGTATGATGGGGGAACTAAATTTCTTCCTTGGTCTACAAATCAAGCAAACAAGCAAAGGAACTCAAATATCTCAACAAAAGTATCTCAAGGAACTTCTAAAGAAGTATGGGATGAGCGAGGGAAAAACTATGACTACACCAATGGGGACAAATGATAGGCTGGACTCGGATGAACAGGGAAAGAGCATAGACCAAAAGATGTATCGAGGAATGATTGGGTCTCTACTATACCTAACTGCAAGTAGACCCGACATAGTTTTTAGTGTAGGTCTATGTGCACGGTTCCAGACCAATCCCAAGGAGTCCCATCTCAAAGCTGTGAAGAGGATTCTCAAATACCTCAAAGGAACTACTAATCTATGTTTATGGTATCCTCGTAATGATGATTTTAACCTTATTGCATATTCAGACTCTGATTTTGCAGGTGATTTGCTAAATAGAAAAAGTACGTCTGGAATGGCTCACTTCCTAGGTCCCTGTCTAGTTTCTTGGAGCTCAAAGAAACAAAATTCAGTTGCTCTTTCAACAGCCGAAGCTGAGTATGTAGCAGCCGCATCTTGTTGCTCTCAATCATTGTGGATCATGCAACAAGTAAGCGATTACGGGGTTGATTTAAAGTGCACGCCCATCCTATGCGATAATACAAGTGCAATTAGCATATCAAAGGACCCGGTCATGCATTCTCGGACAAAACATATTCATATACGACATCACTTTCTGAGAGATTGCGTGGAAAAGGGGTTAATCAGGCTGGAATATTGCAACACCGAGAAACAAATAGCTGATATCCTTACCAAGCCTCTAGGAAGAGAAAGGTTTGAACTAATTAGACTGGAACTTGGTCTAATTAATTCCTAAATTATTTGTTCTACTTCTTATTTCCTAAATAATGGGAATCACTGGAACTAATCTCTTTTACTAGTTGCGAAGAAAGCATGCAGGACCTTCCGGCCTCATCTAAGGGGGAACAAATCGATATTTTAATTTGGGCATTACTTTTTTTTCTTTTGTTGAATGACAAAAGGGGGAAAAAATCTTGGTGCCCCTTTGTGTGTACTATAATTGTTACTAATCTGCAGGGACACCTTCACTATGGCACCTAATGTTTGTCATCAACAAAAAGGGGGAATTTGTTGAGTATGTGGTTTTGTTGATGACTAACCATGTAGGTAGAACGCCGTACAGAACCGCTCCTGTTCCGTAAACTGCATATGCATGTCTTTCAACGTATGATATTTTACATGCATTAATATCTTTCCATAATTGATTGGATATTTTGGGGAATGTATTGTTAGATATGCTTTATGGAAAGTAATATGAGTGCATTTTTGCATTACCATAAAATAGATATACGTAATTTGCATATGGGTGCATATTTGAGTGTTTATTCTCTTTCCATATTTGATTAGACATCCACTTATTAGTATAGCCTATCACTTTATGGAAAATATCCTTGCTTGCTATATTATGAGTGCATGGTTTATATTTAGTCATTAAAGTAGCTTGACTTACAAAAGATTGCATAAATCTTTTCATTGCTACAAAATATACGTAACTTGCTTTGGTTTGAAAATGTTATCCTTGGTGGAGATATTAAATGAATATTTGTTTAAGGAAAGTTACTTTAGAATAATTGCATGATTCTGTGGCATTATTTGAATATGGCTTGCAAGAAAATATTACCTTTTGTAATTGATCTTAATGGAAGTGACCGTAGCTTGATTTGAAGTAAATTGAATCTTCTCTTTTAACTGGCTCCTTAATTAGCAACAAAGGCAATTGACTTTTCAAAAAAGCAACATTGCATGAATTATTATTAAAGGAAAGCTTCCTTTGAATAAATGATTCGAATAGATTTATATGTGCTAAGGAATATTTACTAGCATAATCCGTATGTGTGTATATGGTGAGATAATAAATTATTGCCTTGACCCTCAACATCAATTACTTCTTGTCTTATAAAACTATACATGCTAGTTTGACTTGTGTATCAAGATGGAAGGTTTTTTGAATTATATCAAGGCAAGAATCAAAGGGGCTCCAACGGATTCTCTTCAAGACTGCCTATAAAGAGCAAAGGGGCAAAAGAGAAGTAGGGGGGCTGGCAGCAAGAAATACACCGAGATACACTCAAGAATATATCAAGCACAATCTGCCTGAAACTGCTCATACGGAGTTCTAGATATAGTTTCTTCTTTCCCTTCTTCATATTGTAATGGGGTTTTGAGGATTGGCTAAGAGTAGCCTCCTCAGGTTGGTTTGTGTGTGTGAGAGTTTTGTTGTAAAGCTGAGAGGCTCTCTACCCGCAAGGTAGAGAAGCATAACTCTTCCTAGAGAGGATAGAGTTGGGGTGGCTCAAGGGTAGACTAGGAGAGTTTCCCTTGTAATCATCAAAGGCTTTTTAGTGAAGTTGTTAAAATTCCTCCGAGGGAGGTCGAGGTTTTTTAATCCCTTTGAGCCAAGGGATTTTTCCTCGTTAAATCCTTGAGCACTTTACTATTTCGTATATCCCTTTACCCCGCACTAGAACTGGGCGAAAAACTGCCACGGTTCCACACACACACAATTCACCCCCCCTCTTGTGTTGCTAACCGTTTTCATCACTCTATAAATTTTACAATGAATAATCTAGTCTAAGAGCTTAGTGAAGCATGAGTCAAAGCAGAGTGTTCAAGCACTTTCTCTTTTGCTAGATATGCGTAGTGTAATGAGTGAACCACTTGCTTTGAACTCAATGACTTGTTTTTGAACTCATGCTTCGGCCTATTTTTATAGGCATCTCCAGTAGATTAATTTCCTCCGTTGGTTGAGAGGATTTAAATCTAGACGTCCAAAGTATTGTACTTGCGTCTTCTTGTGTTGGAGCAGGATAAGGAATTGTCTTTGGTGCTGCTTGACGGCCAACTTGCTTTGTACGAAATGTAACCCATACCTTAGGCCTTTTCTTCACTGTTCACCTGCCATTAGGTCTTGGCTTTGTCTTGCAACTATATTCATGTAGTAAAGTGCGTGAACCTGCTCAATTTGTGTAGTGAAGTAGTAAAATGTGTGACTTAGAATATTTTGTACCAAATAAATTTTGTACTGGTAGGATCTTTTAAATATCCTATTAAGGTAGTAAAATTACCTTATTGCATTTTGTTCTTTCCAGTACAATTTATTTGGTGCAAATTTTACAATAAAATTTGTCACTTATTTTACTGATCACTTTCTTCCTAAAGTGACATGATTGAACTTATGTATCAAATAAAAACTATACTGGTTGGATTTAAATATCCATGTAAGGTAAAAAAAATTTACCTTATTGTATTTTATAATTTCCAGTATGTTTAATTTGGTACATAGTTTTTACATTCGTGTTTTTGTCACTTTTAGAGTTTGTGAGGTTTAGCAGGTATTGTGTACAACTTAACTGGTAGATGATTTTTCCAGTCAAATTTATTTGTCTAATTAAATGGACCAAGGAGCAAGACACATCTAGATAGGTTTTCTTAGTACTAGTCAATTTCAAGATGTTACAGTAGAGGATAACCAAGACTACTACATTTTCCAAACTTATAAGAATGCTACAAATAGAGGGGAGATAACAAAAGCTTTTGGCATCATCAAAACAGTTCATCAAAATCTGGGGTCTAACAACAAGTATAGAAGTGATTTAAGTACGAATAACCAGACTTAATATTACATAACACCGAACCTGGATTGCCAGCTGGAGCCTGCACCCGAGGGGGTCCATACTGACCAAATGGTGGTAACGGCAGAAGAGGAGCCTGCTGATTTCCATAGACGGCCTGCTGGTGCTGGAACTGAACACCATACCCACGGCCCCTGCCGCGTTGCCCACGACCACGGCCCCCGCGATACCCGCGTCCGGCTGGAGCTCGACCTCCCTGTCCACGAGCCGCAGGCGCTGCACCCCCTCGATTCTGACCGGCTGGAACTGCGGGAGCTGCTGGGGCAGCCGCAAAAGCCTGGTGAGCTGGAGCCATATCTTGAGAACGGAGAAATTGATTCCTTTGCTCTTGAGCAAGAAGAACAGGCCGCAGAGATTCAATGGTGGCATTACCCGGAATGTAGGAAATAATGCTGATTAAGGACTCATAATCTGGCCCTAAACCATTAATGGTATATTCAATGACATCACGGTTGCTTACGGGTGAATTAATGGAATTAAGATTATCAGCCAATAATTTAACTTCCAATAAATATTGGTCAATGGTTTGGGACTCTTTCTTCTTTATATGAGACAGTTGGCGTTTAAGCTCTATAGATCGAGCCAAACAAGCAGACATAAAACATGTTTCAAGAGACTCCCAAATACGTGCAGAAAATTTTAAATCGTATACCTCCATGAGAATGTCGCGTGATAATGTAGCAAATAGCCAGGACCGGACAGTTTGATCAATCTTAAGCCAGTAATGATACTCGGGATTGGGTACCTCCCTGTGATGTTCATCAGTCAAAACTTGTGGCGGAGCCAAAACGGAACCATCTAGAATCCCAAGAAGACTGTGGGAAACCAGAAAGGATTCGAATTGGGTACGCCAAGGGAGGTAGTCCTCAACTGCCTTCAACCGAGTAGTGACAATATTTGTCACATTAGGCGTGGAGAAGGTCAGTTGAGAAGCCAAGGAACCCAAAAAGGAAGAAGCAAGGGAAAAACCTGGCGTGAGAGCGGACTGATGCGGCGTAAGAGGAGATGTGCCTGGCTGTCCAGAGAAAGTAACACCGGTAAACGTAGGCAATGAAGACGATGAAGGACCCGGCTGAGTGGTGGAGAGAAGGGGAAGGCTCTGTGAAGAGTATGAGCCAAGCAATACAGGAGGAGGTCCAATCGGTGCTGTTATCGGCGGAAGAGTGGGTACAATTGGTGTTGGATTCCACGTGAAAGGAGTAGGCATACCAAACATCCGATGGGAGTCCAGTGAAGGCAGAACAGGGGGATCATGTATGGACCCAAAACGTCGAACAGATGGGGAAGAGAAATCCAGCGAGGAAGAAGAGAATGGCTGCAGCTGAAGATTGGAGGAGGGCGCCGTGCTGGAACTGGTTACAACCGCCGAAGAAAAAGAAGCCGGAACAGGGGTGGAGGACCCGGCGGCAGCAGTGATGCCTGAGGCGGAGGTATCGTGCGACATATTTTGCGGAAGAGAGGAAAACCTAGGCGACTGATACCATATACAATATTATGGAATAATGGCTTACCCTAAAAGGGAGCCCTGATGGTATATTTATACTAAACAGATAAAATAAGAGAATTACAAATATGTCCCGATATTTCTATCTATTAAAAATATGGTCAGCTTTAATTAAATGGAAAAGCTTTTAATTAGATTAAATGCAATGACAGTAGGTCTCTAGGTTAACATTTTTATGAACTTCTTATATATTGTGCTTATAATTTTAGTAATTAAATTATGACAGTACAAATTAAAAGAACAATTACTACATGCAGAATTGTGAAAATGGAGCTGATGGCGCTGCCAGACATATCACTAAATGATACAGCTTGAGTTACTACTAATGATCATAATCATAACTATGCGTGTTTCCACACGCATAGTGTGGAAATTTCTTAATTTGGCACAATGAATTAAACTTTTCAATCCTCTAAAACAGACATGCCATGCGAAGCAAAAAAAAAAAAAAACTCAGGATATTATTTTAGAATAAAGTTCACAAAAGAAGCAAGCTATTGTGATTTTTAATAATTTCCATTAATTAACATTTGATAAATGATACTAGTAAAAAGTAAACTCACTCCCAGATGGACCAGCCAGTTACGTGCACCGGAACCTTTGCCTGCATCGTAATGGTACGCGGGCGGGCTTCCGTCCAAACACACTATAATAAGCACAATAAATCTTTCAATTATAGACTTTCGATCTTACCCTCCCATGACGCCATAATGAAATAAAAATACATGACTAATTTCAATATATGTATGTGCTTATACATAACACTCAATTAACTAAGCATATAAGAATGCTAAGCTTGTTAAAAATTTATGCACATTCATAAATGATCAAGTATTTTACCGGCTCCTTCAGCAACGGCGCTCGGTATCAAAGTCTTGGTAACATTTTTGTCAGCCTTTGATGGGTCAACAATCAGAGCAGCACAAAGAAGGAACCAGTAGAACATTATTGTTGACATCTCCTGCAACATAAAAAGTAAACCACATCACTAAATAAAAATGATAAAAAATAAAGTAAAAATGATAAAAAGAAAATAAAAACGTGACACCAAACCGGCACTTAATTATTTCAATCGGATCATATCATGCAAATTGTAGATGTATGAATTTATCTGAATCAAACTCTTGTTCCGCTTCAAGTCCATGAAGTATCATAAACAGGCTAATTTCGTTGGACACAACGTGGAACTAAATTGCACACAAATGATGTGCATGTGTTTGTGTGAATGAATATTACTCCCTCCGGTTCTAAATAAACTTCACACTTTCCTTTTTAGGACGGTCCAAAATAAACTTCACACTTCCTTATTTCCTTATTTGGCAAAGAAATCTACATCAAAACAGTGTTAAACAGTGCTAAACAGTGCCAAACAGTGTCTCAACAGTGCCAAACAGTGCCAAACAGTGTCTCAACAGTGTATTCTACAGTAAAGTCAACTTTATTTTCTTAATAACTGTGAAGTCAAACACTGAAGTTTAAAAAGAACCGGAGGGAGTATATTACTTGGGTCATATTACTTCGTATAAAGCTAAAAGATATAATAAAAATAGCAGTTTGTTTCATACAAAAACATATGTATGAAACCTAACATTATTTTATCCTAGAAGAAACATTACAAAATAAAACAGTTTGTGTAATCATAAAATTGTAAAATCTCAGTATTACAAGCTAAGTATAAATACTTACAGAGCCGAAAGATATATGTTACGATTTTGTGCAGGAAAGAACTCAAAATAAAGAGAAAAATTGGAGTAGAAAACATTAAAAAGAAATAGCTAGAGATGGAGCTTACCATTCGATCAAGCCAAATTAATTGACGAAATTTGGAAGGCTGGAAAACTGAAGACTGAATGAGAATTGAAACTTGTAATATGGAAGTGAATGAGTGAATGAGAATGGCCTGGTGGGGGGTTTAATTTTTAGGACTAGCTCTATACTTCGGAGAATCGTAGTAGTAGTGCTTTAATTACTAGGGGATGAAGATGATGGATTTATTGAGCTGCTTTGATAATTATGAGTATCCATAAATGCACGCATAAATCATACGAAGTACTTCATACTTGGTACCGCAATATATTATGCTTCGCCCGAATAGAGAATTTAGAAGAGGTTTTTCAATTCATTTAATGTACTATGAGATGATACTAAATGATTAATTATTACACTGCCCATACTATACCCTGATCATCTTTCAAAAAAAAAAATACTATACCCTGATCAATATCAGCCATGATGCCATGTTGGTACTACAAAAGGAAAGTCATCATTCTCCACTACGTACATACGTACGCAGTTGAATTGGAGATATTTACTATACTACGAATGATTTACTTTTGGCTAAAGGTTCAAATATGTCCTTGAACTTATTTAAAGCGTTCAATTAGTCCCTTATATAAGAAGTTCTGCCCGGCCGTCGCTAAAATGTTTTTGAGAATCTTCGTCATTAAGTCTGGTTTACCCATACCAAATTTCAGCTAAAAATTCAACCGGGAAGGCAGTCAAATGATTTTCCAAAATGTACTGCACTGTTTAACTTCGCAGTTATCTTCAAAAAATCACTTGACAACCTTCCTGGTTGAATTTTTAGCTGAAATTTGGTATGAGTAAACTAGACTTAATGAAGAAGATTCTCAAAAAAATTCATCAAAAAATTCCACAGGAACCGCCCCAATTGGCGACGGCCCAGCAGAACCTCCTATATAAGGGGTTAATTGAACACTATAAGTCAGTTCAGGGGCCTATTTGACCCTTTAGCCTGTACTTTTTACTCTTAGCTTGTAGATTAAATGAACACATGACCGTCTTTTAGGATGTGCAATTTGACAACAGTAAAAAGTAAACCATATCACTAAATAAAAATGATAAAAAAGAAAATAAAATTGATAAAAAAGAAAATAAAAATGTCACACCAAACCAGCACTTAATTATTTCCGCTAGATGTCCATGAAGTATCATAAACAGGCTAATTTCGTTGGACACAAATGATGTGCATGTGTTTGTGTGAATGTATATTACTTGGGTCGTATTAAATTACTTCGTATAAAGCTCAAAGATATAATAAAAATAGCATTTTATTTGTTTCGTATAAATACTAGAGGGGCAACATATAATAACAATAACAATAACATATGCATGAAACCTAACATTTTATACTTAAAGAAACATTACAAAATACTATCGTAAAACAGTTTAACGTAATCATAACATTGTAAGATCTCAGTAGTACAACTGTACAAGGATAAAAAGCATGAAAGTAGAAAACATTAAAAAGAAATAGCTAGAGATAGAGGTTACCATTCAATAAGGCAAAATGAATTGAGGAAAGTTCGTTAGAAGGGTGGAGTGCTGGAGAATTGATCGAAGACTGAATGAGAATTGAAACTCGGACGTAGACTCTATATAACTAGGGGATGGAGATAATGGATTTATTGAGCTGCTTTAGTAATTATTAGTATCCATAAATGCACGCATAAATCATACTCCACACTTGGCAGTTCGTACTTGGTACTACAATATATTATGCTTCACCCGAATAGAGAACATTAGAAAAGGATTTTCAATTCGTTTAATGTACTATGGTCTAAGAGATGATATTAAATGTTTAATTAATACACTGCCCATACTATACCCTGATCAATATACAAGCCATGTTGCCATGTTGGTACTACAAAAGAAAGTCATTCTCCACTACATACGTACGCAGTTGAATCGGGGAGATTTACTACGTATGATTTACTTTTTACTCTTAGCTTGTAGATTAAAGGGAAAAATAATTAAAATACCCCAAAATTTTAAGAGGTGTGAGATGAACAACTCAAACTTGTATATGTAATTCAAATATCCCAAACTTTATATAAATGTAAATCCACGGAGTTAATTGCATAAGTTAAAATAGTAAATTAAAAATATTGCAATTATATAGATTGGGCGTATGTAACATTGTTTATTTCTCAATAGAAGTTTAAAATGTTAATTGTGTCTTCATGAATCCTAAACTATTTTAAATTATGCAATTAACTCTTTAAATTTACATTTTTGAAAAATATAATACATGACAATGGTGCAAAAATGACTTTTTATATAAAGTTTGGGGTATTTAAGTTATATATGCAAGTTAGGACTGCTTACCTCACACCCCGTCAAAGTTTGGGGTATTTTTATTATTTTTCCCTAGATCAAATGAAGACATGATCGTCTTTTAGGAGATACAATAGGTGTTTGGAACCGAAACCTACTCTTGTAATGGGCCTTTAAACATTTAAAACGTAGTATTGGTATATGTTGATTTTTTAGATGTTATGTACGAAGTATTATTCAAGATTCCAAAAGGTATATAATGTTTAGATTCTCTAATTTGTATATTTTAAACATCATAAAATTTATATTTCATTGAATTGTCTATTTGTATTGGAAAAAGGGTCAAATAACCCTTCTATAATTGCAATTTGCAAATAGGTCACATAAACCCATGTACTAAAAAAAGCATCAAATAAACTCATCTACGTTTCTTAAGAAAATTAAAACTTTAAAAATAAATACTTTATCAGTATGTATAAATGGTCAAAATAGGTATTATTTTTAGAGTATCTCATTGTCTCGGTCAGTATCACTTATATTGTACTTATGTATTAGTTTGTATCTTTAATGAATATGTGTGTATCAATTAGTATGTATCAACTTATAATGCATTACAACAAATAACTGTATGTAATAATATGCAGGAAAAAGGGTCAAATAGACCCTCAACTATTTCAAATACATCATTTAAGTCCATCTACTCTAGAATAACTCAGGGTAGCGCTTCCTCATGGCTTCCTCCGGTTCCCATGTTGCTTCCTCCGTCTTGTGATTCCTCCACAGTACCTTTACTAACGTTATCTCTTTGTTTCTTAGACGTTTAATCTCACGATCAAGTATTTTCACTGGTTTTTCTTCGTAAGTCATATTCGGTTGAGTCTCTACTTGTGGAGGTACAAGGATATGTTCTGGGCTCTCGTAATATCTTTTGAGCATCGAAATGTGGAACACATTGTGTATACCTGCCATCTCCTCCGGTAGTGCCACTTCATAAGCAACTTTACCTATTTTCTTGGTTATCTCAAATGGTCCCACAAATCGCGGACTTAACTTACCTTTCCTACCAAACCTCATCACCCCTTTCATTGGAGTGACCTTCACGAAGACACGTTCTCCTTCTTGGAACTCAAGGGGTCGTCTCTTAGCGTCGGCATAACTCTTCTGTCGACATTGGGCTGCCTCAATCCGTTGTCGGATGGTTTTGATGGACTCGGATGTCTCCTCGATTATTTTAGTTCTACCTTCAAGTTGTTCCTCCATTATTCTCTTTTCCCCACACTCACACCACGTGATAGGGGACCTGCACCTTCTCCCGTACAACGCCTCGTATGGAGCCTTGCCAATGGTAGCCTGGTAACTATTGTTGTAAGCGAATTCCGCGAGGCTTAAGTATTTCACCCAACTGCCCTGAAAGTCGATAGCACACGCCCTTAACATGTCCTCGAGAACTCGGTTGACCCTCTCGGTCTGCCCATCAGTCTGTGGGTGAAAGGCTGTGTTGTACTTCAATTTTGTTCCCAATGACCGCTGCACACACTCCCAAAAAATGTGATGTGAACTTGGAGTCTCTATCAGAAATTATAGTCTTGGGGACTATCGATCTCACGGACATACAGCCAAGCCAACTTCTCCACATTCATGGTTACCGCAATGGGAATAAAGTGGGCCGACTTGGTTAATCGGTCTACAATTACCCAAATGCCATCAAATCCACCTGTGGTCTTTGGTAGGCCTACAATCACCACAAGAAAATGACCTATTAGCGAAGGGAAAAGTGGTCGCAAAAACTAAAAAAACGGTCACTAATAATCATTTGCGACCGCAAAAACTGGTCGCGCGGCCGTCGCTATAGGTTCCGCCGCAAAAGGTTATTTGCGACCGAAAAAAGTGGGCGGTCGCTAAAACTATTTGGGACCACCTAAAATACAGTCGCTAATGATATTATTTGAGACTACTTCTTATAAAGAATTGCGACTACTTTCCCTTCGCATGAAAATATAATATAAAATTATATAATAATTAATATATTGCACATAACCATAACACACAATAGAAACATGAATACGATTTTAAATTTAATCATTCACATTTCAATTCAAAAGTAATAAATAAGCATTAAAGTAGTTAAACATCAATTTGATATTCAACATATCAATTGCCTAAGCTACAAAATGTATCTAAAAAAACTACGTCATGTTTGAACAATAATGCAGCGGCAAATCTCATTTCAAGCTCTTGAATTTAATCTTTGCTTCCTTGACCTTGTAGCATCTCTCTAATCTTTTGGAGATAATCTTCTGGTGCACTAGGACGATTTTTCATGCCCCGGTTTTCTGGATTTTTCATGCCTCGGTTTTCTGAATTTTTCATGCCTCGGTTTTCTTCTGGTGTTAAATGCAACCTTGCCTTCCAGCTCACTTTTTTAGAAGATGGTCCCTTCAAATCTTTGCAACTCACACAACCTCTAAAGCCCCTTCAACTATTACTGCCTGTATGTTTCCACTTAAACTATCTACATGGGTAGTGCTAACTTTAGAAACAATAATATTATCAATCCAGAAAAATCCAACTAGGCCCGGTCTGAGATCAGTTCTTGGTACAATTCATAATCTAGCAAAAAAAAAACTAGTACTAAGCTATAACTGTTTAATATCATCTCATTTTGAACCAAGACAGATCATCAACAAGGAAGACTTATTATGTAATATAGGATTAGCTAGTTAATTTATTCGAGAATTACTACTAAGATAAAGAGTTATACCAAACTTCGGGCTTCCCCTGTTGAAGATGGAGTCTTGTTCAGAGTTTCAGAACTGATACCCGACCGGGTCAGATGAAGGACCCGACTGGGTATGTTGAAGCAGAGACCTGGGGACTCTCTGGAATGTGAGACCCGACCGGGTCAGGTGAAGGACCCGACCGGGTCAGATGTTCGATGAGCTTCTGTCTTGGAAACCCGACCTGGTTTCTACCCGGGTTTGTATTCTGTGAAGGAGACCCGACCGGGTCAAATAAGAGACCCGACCGGGTCAGTCGACGGGATTTTTAATTACAGGCTTAATTTTGGGCCTGCGGCTCTAATCTCAGTTTAGGTTTTCTTAAACCTATTTAAACGACTCTTATGTACTTGTAAACCTCTTGGGACGCCGATAATAATACATACTCTCTCTCGTTCACCGTGGACTAGCACAATCAACCCGATTGTGTGAACAAACGTTAATTATTGTGTTCTTGCTCTTAATTTATCGTTTATCTTTGCCTAATCGTAACAATTGGTATCAGAGCTATGGCTGACGAAGGGAAGGTTAAGATCGATAAATTTGATGGTCAAGATTTCGCTTTCTGGAAGATGCAGATCGAGGATTATCTCTACCAGAAGAAGCTTCATCAACCGTTGTCTGAGAACAAACCAGAAACGATGACGGAGGCGGAATGGAATTTGTTGGATCGACAGGCTCTTGGTGTGGTGAGGTTGTCATTGGCGAAGAACGTTGCCTACAACATCGTCAACGAGAAGACAACGTTTGGACTGCTCAAGGCGTTATGCAACATGTATGAGAAACCCTCAGCAGCAAACAAGGTTTTCTTGATTAGACAGTTGGTGAATACAAGAATGAAGGAAGGTGCATCCGTGGCAGATCACATCAACGAGTTTAATTCAATCATATCCAGGTTAGGCTCGGTTGAGATTAAATTCGATGATGAAGTCCAAGCATTACTTTTGTTATCATCTTTGCCCGATAGTTGGTCCGGTACAGTCACAGCGGTTAGTAGTTCATCTGGAACCACTAAGCTTACCTTTGAAGGTATTCGTGACTTAATCCTTGGTGAGGATATCCGGATGAGGAGTTCGGGGGATAGCTCCAACAGTTTGTTGAGTACTGAAGATAGGGGCAGAAAATCCACTAGAGGAGGTAACAAGAAGGGAAGATCGAAGTCGAGAAAGAGAGGGCAATCTAAGAACCGGAAGGACATAAATTGTTGGAATTGCAAAGAGAATGGACACTTCAGAAATCAGTGCCCAAAACCCCCTGCAGACAAAGGCAAGAAGGAGGTGAATGTGGCAGAGGATTATGAAGACGTTCTAATTTGCAGTGTTGAGAATTCAGTTGAGTTCTGGATCATGGATTCAGGTGCGTCGTTTCATGCTTGTCATTGCAGGGATTTGATGAAAAATTTCAGGCCCTATAACGGAAGAGTTCGTTTGGCGGATGACAAATCCCTGGAGATCACGGGTATTGGGGATGTTGATCTCAGTACCACTTTGGGTACAACCTGGAGGCTGAAAGATGTGAGGTATATTCCAGACCTGAAGAAGATGTTGATCTCAGTTGGACAGCTTGATGAGGAAGGCCATAATGTTAGTTTTGGCAACAAGCAATGGAAGGTGACAAAGGGAAAG